AACCAGGTTTGATTCCCCACTCCTCCACTTGCACCCGGCTGGATGACCTTGGGCAAGCCGTAGCTCTGATCAGAGCTGTCCTTGAAAAAGAGCAGTTTCTGTCAGAGCTCTCTCAGCCCCACCGACCTCACAGGGTGTCTGTTGTGGGGAGGGGAAGGGAAAGGAGCTTGTCAGCCGCTCTGAGACTCCAAGTGAAGGGCGGGGTATAAATCCAATCTCCCCCTCCTCCTCCTCCTCCCTCCTCCTCCATCCAGCATTGGCTTCTCTTTTGTTCTTATGGAATTCCTCTGAGGACGCGGGGTTCCATTCACCCATTATAGCCACCAGTCGACTTCTCTGTGGATCTGTCTAATGTGCTTCCAAAGCTGTTTAGCTCACAGCCATCTCCCTATTTTGTGACTGTTACTTATGCGCTATGTGAAGAAGGACTTCCTTTTGTCAGTCCTGAATCTATTGACCGTCAGTTTAATTGGGTGACCTCCCCAAGTCATAGAATCATAGAATCATAGAATGTTTGAAGGGACCTCTCAGGTCATCTAGTCCAACCCCCTGCACTCTGCGGGAGCAGAGCTGAAAGACAGCCCTACAACATCCCCAAAAGAGGGTCGTCCAGCCTCCGCTTGAAAGCGTCCAGCGAAGGAGCATCCACCACCTCCCAAGGCAGACTGTTCCACTGCTCAACCACTCTTACAGTTAGGAAGTTTCTCCTGATATTTAGCGGGTAACGACTCCCTTGTCATTTCCACCCATTAGACCGAGTCTTGCGATCTGGAGCGAGAGAGAATAGATCTGCTCCATCTTCTACATGACAGCCCTTCAGATACTTGAAGACCAGTGTACCCTCTAAGCTGAGTTAATGTGAGCTAGCTCACAGTTTTTTAGCCTCTGGCTCACACATTTTTGTCTCAGCTTAGGAAGGATGTGGCTCCAGAGCACACTAATTTATGCAGCAGCCAAATCGCTCACTCACAACTTTAACGCCGGTAGCTTACAAAGTAGAATTTTTGCTCACAAGACTCCACAGTTTAGAGGGAACATTGCTGAAGACGGCAATAATGTCCCCTCTAAGCCTTCTCTTTCCCAGGCTAAACATACCCAACTCTTTCAGCCTTTCCTCGTAAGACTTGGATTCCAACCCTCTCCCCATCCTGGTTGCCCTCTTCTGGACACGCTCGAGCTGGTCAGCATCCTTCCTAAAATGTGGTGCCCAAAACCGGACACAGGATAGGTGGGGCCTGACCATAGCAGAATAGAGGGGAACTACCACCTCCCGCGATCTGGGCACAATGTCAAATGAGTCAAACCACACATTACGGGTGGGTCGAACCGACTACTGTCAACCCAATTTTAGAGGGAAATTTAGCCATTTAAAAAGGCAGTGCCATCACAGTCCGAGTGCATTGGCTGCTTTTCTAGCTGATTCTGCCTCTTTGCCGTAGCTTTTTTGTGGCTAGGGTTGCCAGACCACCCCCCGTGGAGGCGAAGGACCCAGCCACTCGTTCCAGATCTTAATTCAAATATTTTATTTATTTATTTATTTTCATATTTATATCCCGCCCTCCCCAGGTGGGCTCAGGGCAGCTAACAAGGGCAGGACAACAGCCATGCCAAGATAAAAACATATAAAAACATAATAAACATTCAACATTAAAACCACTGTGCTCAATTCGTAACTGATGTCCTAAGTCCAAGATGGTAACTCCACAGTTAGATGGTACTCCCAAAAAGTACGTGTCCAGTGACGATGGCCGAAGCTCTTCTACAATGTCCAGCGTCTTCCTTGGGCCTCGTTGATGCATCCTTTGAGATACCTTAATGGTGGTGGTATAATGGGGCGGTGGCTCCTACTCAAAGGCCTGGCGGAAGAGCTCCGTCTTGCAGGCCCTGCGGAACTGCATAAGGTCCCGCAGGGCCCGGATCTCCCCTGGGAGCTCATTCCACCAGGTAGGAGCCACCACCGAAAAAGCCCTGGCCCTGGTCGCAGCTAGTTTAACTTCCTTGGGCCCTGGGATGACTAAAAAATTTTGGGGCCCGGACCGTAGTAATCTTGGGGGAACATGTGGGGCAAGGCGGTCCCTCAGGTAGGTTGGACCCTGGCCATAAAGGGCTTTATAGGTAAGAACCAGCACTTTGAAGCGGATCAGGTACACTATCGGCAGCCAGTGCAACGCTTTCAGCACAGGCTGGATATGGTCCCTCCGAGAAAGTCCCATCAGCAGCCTGGCTGCCGCATTCTGCACCAGCTGCAGCTTCCGGATCTGCGACAAAGGCAGCCCCATGTAGAGATCGTTGCAGTAGTCTAGCCTTGAGGTGACCGTCGCATGGATCACTGTGGCCAGGTCTTCTCGGTCAAGGTAGGGGACCAACTGCCGCGCCAACCGAAGATGATAAAAGGCTGACTTGACAGTGGCTGCCACCTGGGCCTCCATTGTTAGAGAGGAGTCCAGGAGCACCCTCAAGCTCCTAACCCTAGACACTGGCACCAAAGGCGCCCCGTCGAAGGTCGGGAGAGGGAGCCCTAACCCTACACCGGTCTGACTCAGACCCAGGACCTCCGTCTTCGCCGGGTTTAGTTTCAATCGGCTCAGCTGGAGCCAACCAGCCACGGCCTCCAACGCCCGATGAAGGTCATCGGGACTCGAGCCCGACCGGCCGCCCAGCATCAGATAGAGCTGGGTGTCATCTGCATACTGATGACACCCAAGCCCATACCTGCACCCTGCGGCACCCCACAATCAAGGAGGTACCTATGGGATCGCTGGTCCCCAACCACCACCCTTTGTCCCCGACCTTGTAGGAAAGAGGCAAACCATTGAAGGGCAGCCCCTGAATCCCCACGTCGGCGAGGCGGTGGGACAGCAGCTGATGGTCGACCGTATCAAACGCGGCCGACAGATCTAACAACAGCAGTGCTGCCACACCTCCTCGATCCAGATGCCTTCGGAGATCGTCAGTCAGGGCGACCAAAGCCGTCTCAGTTCCATGGCCAGGGCGAAAACCGGACTGGAAGGGATCTAAGACTGAAGCGTCCTCCAGAAAGCTCTGTAGCTGCAACGCCACCGCCCTCTCAATAAGTTTGCCCAAATAGGGCAAATTGGACACCGGCCAATAGTTCCGTTGTTAGGGTTTGTTTGGCCCCGGAAGCCGAGAGGAGTCTATAAAACTTGGTGCCGGCTAATGACTGGGCTCTGGGAAATGTACACGGTTGTCAGAAGGTTGAGATTTCGCTTCCTCTCACTGTGGGTCGGCTGGAGGGGGAAAGCCTGGCTGTTTTGATGCCTCTTTTCGAGTGGAGGAATGCAGCTGCCAAGCCAGGTTTTGGCTTGGAGGGGAGAGGCGATTAAATAGCACCAGCCGGCCGGCTTCCTTATCCTTGGCCCCTCTGCGGGACCAGCTCAGCCAGTTCCTCACGATCAAAGCCGGTCACTGAGGAAGTCACTGGCATCCCTGACCTGTCACTGATGAGCAGCCAGCTCTCTGGGGAGAGTGGAATTGCACCAGCAGACGTTTGTGGGCATCTGGCCACAAGCCCAACTTTGTTCCGTTGAAGGCGAGGCAGTTTGCAATAGCTGAGGTTGGGAGTCCTACATCAGAGACCATGGCATCAGGGGTTGGGTTTTTTTCCAAGAAAACAACATACGGAGGCAGTTTGGTGTAGTGGTTAAGTGCGCGGACTCTAATCTGGGAGAACCAGGTTTGACTTCCCCACTCCTCCACGCGCAGCTGCTGGTGTGACCTTGGGTCAGTCACAAGTCCTCTCAGAGCTGTTCTCTCAAGGGCAGTCCTCGAAAGAGCTCTCTCAGCCCCACCTACCCCACAGGTTATCTGTTGTGGGGAGGGGAAGGGAAAGGAGATGGTCAGCCGCTCTAAGACTCTGAGTGAAGTTCTCCCAGATTAGAGTCCGTGCACTTAACCACAAACTGTGTGTGAATTTTAATGGCTATCAGGGTTTTTTTTCTGAGGGAATGCACTGGAACGGAGTTCCGGAACCTCTTCGACAAGATTATTTTAAAAATGTTTAAAAGTTTGTGAGTTTTCAGTAGACAGATTGAAAACGTAATGTCCCTCTTGAGAGTTCTGGCACCTCCTTTTTTAAAAAAAATCCCTGGGTTTTATCGTGTATGTTTTAAATTATTAGCTGCCTTGATGGGCCTTGTGAGGGCCAAAAGGCCAGATGCCACTTCTGTAAGTAAAATAACTAACAAAATAAATGTGTGTGAAGCTGTTGAAAACGCCTAAAAGTGCCGCACGAAAGGCAAATGATTACGTTAAGGCAGGAAGCGGAAGGAGAGCTTCCTCCTGAGGATTTGTTCCCCGTGTGAGATCCGATATTCCAAACTGGGTTGCCAACTCTTTTGTTGTTCAGTCGCACAGTCGAGTCCGACTCTTCACGACCCCATGGACAAGATCTCGCCAGGCCCTCCTGTTTTCCACCGTCCTCTGAAGTTTGCTCTACCTTGGTGAAAAGTACTGGGTTTGCCGCATGGAGAACTCGGACCACGACATGCGTTCAGACGCGTTTATTGTACTTCCCAACAAGAGACACAAAACGGCCCTGCAAGGCCAACTATATACACTCCACCCGGTACACCTCTGTCCTCATTGGAGGGTTTTAATCTCCCGCCAAGGGTACTATTGGTGGACTCTCAGTGGAATAGAATCCGAGGTCCCCTTTGTGTTTGGGGACCAAGCGCCTGCTTTAACCGCAAACCCCTGGTGGCAGTCCATGTACATACCACTTGGGAAATCCCTGGACGTTTGTGGGTGGAGCCTGAAGAGGGCGGGGATGGGGTAGAGGCGGGGCCTCGCTGGGGTAGAATGCCATAGACTCCACCCTCCAGAGCAGCCATGTTGCCCCAGGGGAACTGATATCTTGCCGTCCGGAGATCAGTCGTAATTCCCGGAGATCTCCAAGCCCCACGTGGAGGTTGGGAGTCTGAGAGCTGAAGCCCGAGAGGATTTCCGAACCCACCGTGGCTTCTCCTTTTCTCCCTCCCCAGAACACCCTGGAGCAGTGCAGCGTCTGTGCCAAGCCCATCATGGAACGGATCCTGCGGGCCACCGGCAAGGCCTACCACCCCCACTGCTTCACCTGCGTGATGTGCCACCGCAGCCTGGACGGCATCCCTTTCACCGTGGACACCGGGGGCAACATCCACTGCATCGAGGACTTCCACAGGTGGGTGCGCTTACCGTTGGGTGGGGGGCAATGTTCCCTCTAAGCTGTGGAGTCTTGTGAGCAAAAATTCTACTTTGTGAGCAACTGGCATGAAAGTTGTGAGTGAGCAATTTGCATACTGCATAAGTTAGTTTGCTCTAGAGCCATCCTTCCTGAGTGAGGACAAAAATGTGTGAGCCGGAGGCTAAAAAACTGTGAGCTAGCTCACACTAACTCAGCTTAAAGGGAACACTGGTGGGGGGTGGGCAGAGCAAAGGGAGGGGAGTGTGATTGAGAGAGAGAGAGAGAACAAAAGGAGCAGGACAAAGTTTGAGTCCATTGGCACCTTTCAGGACAAGATATTCGTTCGTTTGTTCTTTACTAGTACAGTCGCTTGACCAATCATATAAAACGTTTACACAGTTTGGTGTCGTGGTTAAGTGCGCGGACTCTAATCCGGGAGAACCGGGTTTGATTCCCCACGTCTCCACATGCAGCTGCTGGTGTGACCCAGGGTCAGTCACAAGTTCTGTCAGAGCTGTTCTCTCAAGGACAGTTCTGGAAAGAGCTCTCTCAGCCCCACCTACCTCACAGGCAGTGTTCCCTCTAAGCTGAGTTAGTGTGAGCTAGCTCACAGTTTTTTAGCCTCTGGCTCACACCTTTTTGTCTTAGCTCAGGAAGGATGGCTCCAGAGCAAACTAATTTATGCAGCAGCCAAATGGCTCTCTCACAACTTTAATGCCAGTAGCTCACAAAGTAGAATTTCTGCTCAGAAGACTCCACAGCTTAGAGGGAACATTGCTCACAGGGTGTCTGTTGTGGGGAGGGGGAGGGAATGGAGTTCGTAAGCCGCTCTGAGACGCCCTTGGGTAGTGAAGGGCGGGGTACAAATCCAATCTCCTCCTCCTCCTCCTCTTCTTCTTCTTCAAAATTCAGGCATACAGTAGACCAAGTAAAACGATTTAGATCTGAGACCTCAATACCAGACAAAATCTAGCTGCTTGATGAGTGATCTTGGGATTCTTATCAGATAGAAGATAATCAAGCCTAACTTTTTCCCTTGAGGCCAGAGCATCTGCCTACCAACAGAGTAACAATCTCATCACGTGCTTCCTTTATAACATGAGCAGCTAAAAAAGAGATGTGCTCTGAGGTTTCAGCCTCCCTTAGCGGACAGGAGCAGAGCCCTTCCACGTAGGGGTTTTTGTTACATCTACCTTCCAGGACTGCAGGACCCCTTTGCCAGGGGAAACGCCCTTCTGAACCCGTTTATGTTAAGTTGATTTTGAAATTTAATTTTGGATGGAAGCTTTTATGAGAAGGGTGCCAGGGCAAAGTGACCCACTCTCCAAGGAGACTGTGTCTCTGCATGAGTTCCTGTTCAAAGCATGCCTTCTTCCTATTGCGAGCTACACCCAAGGCTGGTTCTCCAACCGAGCCACCTACCTGACTGCTTAGCGCGGCACGAGGAGAAGAGCGCCAAGACAACGCAGGCTCCCAGCAAATAGTGGCAGAGGAGGTGATCGGCTTTTCCACACCGGATTTGATTCCCCCACTCCTCCACTCGCAGCTGCTGGATGACCTTGGGCAAGCTGTAGTTCTGATAAGAGCTGTCCTTGAAAAAGAGCCGTTTCTGTCAGAGCTTTCCCAGCCCCACCGACCTCACAGGGTGCCTGTTGTGGGGAGGGGAAGGGAGAGGAGTTTGTAAGACGCTCTGAGACTCCAAGTGAAGGGCGGGGTATAAATCCAATCTCCTCCTCCTCCACACCATTGCCAGCCAAATCTGAACTGTGTCCCTACAGCATTGGCACAGGGGCTGGGCCTGGATCCGTCTGACTTTGATGTGGGCGCGGGAGGGACGGGCGTACCTCGCTTGAGGCAGCATAATACTTTTAAGCAGCCCTGGTTCCGCCCAGATCTGTGACTCATGCAGAGACACGGAGGCTCGCCTCCTCTGATGGTGGGGAGCTGTTACTCTGACAACTTCCCCAGGGGCAAGAGAACATTATGCCTCCCATTTTCACGCAAAGGAAACCTGCGTCACGTTTTCCCAAAGCTGGTGTCAAAGAACAAGTGTCTTCCAACTGAAACCATGAAGAATTTCTTTTTTAAAAAATTGACTGAACACACATTCCACATCAGAGGGGCTCTTTCCGGCCTGCGTCATTGGCTCAAAGATCCATTTAAAGAGAACCGAAAGGTTGGCTTGGAGAGTTCCTGTCGTCACCATCACCGCTGGTCCGCCCCCTCAGCACATTTCATGTGAGGAACACGAAGAGGTGGGCGTACTTTCTTTAGTGAGTTGTGAAAATCCACACATTCCTCTTACAGATGCTTAAAAAAACCCCAGTAACCAGCGGGTAACAAATCTGAATTTGCATCCAAACTGTTTAGATATAAGGTTGCCAACGTCAGGTTGCGAAATTCCTGGAGATCAGGGGTGGAGTTTGGGGAGGGCAGGAACTCAGCAGAGTATAATGCCATCCAGTCCAGTCTTTAAAGCAGGGGCGTCAAACATACTGCCCAGGGGCCGGAACAGGCCCCCAGAGGGCTTCTACCAGGCCCACAGTGGAGCTGGCTGTCTTCTGCTTCTTCTTCCAGTTCTGCTGCTGCTGCGTCATCGTAGGTTTGCAGCTTACAGATACACACCCAAACAGCATACTCAGCTTTCCCTATGAGGAAAGGTTAAAGCGCTTAGGGCTCTTTAGCTTGGAGAAAAGACGACTGAGGGGTGACATGATCGAGGTTTATAAGATTATGCATGGGAAAGAGCAGGTAGAGAAAGAGGTCCTTTTCTCCCTTTCTCACAATACAAGAACTCCTTGTGGGCACTCCATGAAACTGCAGAGCGGTCGGGTTAGAACGGATTAAAAGGAAGTCCTTCTTCACCCAAAGAGTGATGAACACATGGAATTCATTGCCACAGGAAGTGGCGGCGGCTACAAGCATGGACGGCTTCAAGAAGGAACTGGATAAACATCTGAAGCAGAGGTCCATCAGTGGCTATTCGCCACAAGGTCTAGATAGGGACTCTGGGGCAAGTGATGCTCGGTCTTCTTGGTGCTTGGTGGGGGGGTCAACAGTGGGAGGGCTTCTAATGTCCTGGCCCCACTGGTGGACCTCCTGAGGGCACCTAGTATTTCTGGCAACTGTGTGACACAGAGTGCTGGGCTGGATGGGCCTTTGGCCTGATCCAACATTGGTGTCTCTTATGTTCTTATGTTCAGCACTGCAACAGCACAAGACATTTTAGTGCAATAATTCAGAGCGAGAGGTCTCAGTTATCAGACACTGTTAAATAAACGAAGTATTGCAAGAGTGCTAATGTTTTAAGCATGTTTTTATTTTAAGTAAAAAAAAAAAACCTTTGTGTTTGTGTCCTTTATAAAGTTTATATCTCCGCTCCCTGGCATTACATTTTATGGCAAACGTGGCCCAGCCCAACAAGGTCTCCTTTATGTCAGATCCGGCCCTCGTAACAAATGAGTTCGACACCCCTGAGATAGGGTGTCAGCATGCTACAGCAAGAGTCTCCAACAGGGTGCCCGTGGGCACCATGGCATTCGCCAACACTTTTCCTGAGGTCCAACTTAACCTTTCTGTGATAAGTGCCGTTTATGATTTTAACTGCATGGACAGAAATCAATCGTGAATGCATTCAGATATTAGACTTTGGTTCACTTATGGCTATTGCTGGAAATGCATGCTGGGACGCTTAAACAAAATGCTGTTCTGCTGTTCTGCTGTCCTGCTGAGCGTGGTGGCCTTGCTTGTTCTGGCCAGCTATAACTGTGCATGTTCCTGATTAGCTTAAGTTAGACGAAGAACATACAGCACTATGTACCCATATCTGCTACATTAGATACTTCTCAAACTTCACCGCCTGGGAAGAAGCAGGCCCATTGTTTAACTAAAGGAGAGGTACATTTTTGCTTGAGAAAATGCAACCCACAGGTCCAGGCCAATGTTCCCTCTAAGGTGTGGAGTCTTGTGAGCAAAAATTCCACTTTGTGAGCTACTGACATTAAATTTGTGAGCGAGCCACTTGGCTTCTACATAAATTGGTTTGCTCTGGAGCCCTCCTGCCTGAGCGTCGCCGCTTGTTTGCCGCCCTGGGCCATATGGGTAGGGCGGGTTATAAATCTCAAAATAAATAAATAAATAAATAAATAAAAATGTGTGAGCCGGAGGCTAAAAAACTGTGAGCTAGCTCACACTCACTCAGAGGGAACACTGGTCCAGGCCCAACCGGGAAGGTATGACGCAGTTTGACGACGTTTGCTGCAAGCAGTACTTCACTTGCAACCAGTTTGCTGCAAGTGAAATACTAACCAGAAGAGACGTCAGCGTTCCCTGGAGCGTATCATCGGAATCCCCCTCTTGGAATTGTTATAGTTTACTGCTGGGCACCGATTTTAATTGTAATGATCATTTATTGGTTTTAAATTGTTTTATGTATGGCCTTTGCCTCTTGTGTTAGCCGCCCTGAGCAATAATTCTGTTTCATTTCTCCGATGTAATGTGGAATATAAAACACAATGAAGTCTCCCATTGTAACCTCGGAGACGCTGGGTGGTATCCGAGGAGACCAACCCCTGTTTGTTTGGTTTCTCCCTGTTGATTTTAAACAATTTTTTATTTAAAAAAAACCAACATATGATGATTTCTCCCTGTTAATCGATTAACAATAAAGACCTCGGTTACAGTTTCTTCCCTCACAGGACTGAGAGGGTGTGTTTCTCAGATCGGAACCGGGGAAACACAGAGGATTTGTACTACACCATGGCTGGCACAGATCTTCTATCGGTATCTTTCAGGTGTCCCTCGGGCGGCTGGCGCAGTTGTTAATATAAGTTCCAGGGCAACAGGGCTTCTCATCCTAGTTGTTAGAGGTAGGCGTGGGTGAAAAGAAAAGAAATCAAATGCCCTAACATGTTGCAAATCCGGAGGCTGCAGCTAGTGCAGAATGCTGTGGCCAGGCTGTTGATGGGTCTCTCGAGGAGGGACCACATTCAGCCTGTGCTGAAAGCGCTGCACTGGCTGCCGATAGCATACCGGATTCGCTTCAAAGTGCTGGTTTTGACCTTTAAAGCCCTAAATGGCCAGGGTCCAGCCTACCTGAGGGACCGCCTTTCTCCATATGTTCCCCCAAGGGCACTTCGGTCGGGAGGGCGACATCTCCTGGAAATTCCAGGCCCGAGAGAAGCTAAACTTGCTGTGACTAGGGCTGGGGCGTTTTCGGTGGCGGCTCCTACCTGGTGGAAGGAGCTCCCGGAGGAGATCCGGGCCCTGCGGGACCTTTCTCAGTTCCGCAGGGCCTGCAAGACGCCACTGTTATGCCCCAGCGAATTAACATCGGATTGCCTGGCCCCTAAGGGTGGAACGTGGTGCTAAACACGGCTCTAGGATAAGATCATTGGTAGCTATGTGAGATAAGATCTTCCTCTTCTGGTTTGAAACTTGTTGGAATGTTGTTGTAAATTGTTCATATTTTATTGTAACTTATTGTTTTAAATCATATTGTATTGTTTTAATCGGACACTTAGTCCCCTGTAAGCCGCCCTGAGCCTCCGGGGTAGGGCGGGGTATAAATCTAAATATAAATAAATAAATAAATAAACATATACTGTCCCTAGCTCACTATTCCAAGTGGCACTAGACTACTCACCCTTCCCTCCGGATGAGGGTCTCTCCCCCACAGCAGCCTCAGTCCCTTCTGGCTCTGCCCTCTGGGAAGAAGAACAGCTTTTCCTGCTGCTCCAGATCTTTCAGATCTTTTATTCCAAGCCCTCCTCTTTTCCTATTGGTCAATTTTGGCTCCAAAACCTCTCAGGGGCTTCTGGGAGTTGTAGGCCCAGCCTCACCTACTGCTAGCCAGGCTCCCTGGGCCTAGTAGGCCTCTGGTGGCACAGCCCAGATCATGACACATACCCTCAGAGCTCCAGCGGGGGAATCCTGAATGGACAGGAACGCCCCCCTCGACCTTGTACCTCCTGAAGTCCCTCCCCAAACTCTGGCCTCTTCAGGCTCCACCCCCAAATCCCACCCCACCCCACTCTAGGCTTGCCAAGTCCCCCCCGGGGTGCAGGGAAACCCCCGCCCCAGAGGCCCATTCCCCGCCGCCGGCGGATTGGGCCTCAGGGGGAACCCCACCCCCAAAGTACATGACGTGCACGTCACCCGGAAGTGACGCGACCACGCCGGGCACTCTATGGTTTTCCCTCGGATGGTCGTCGCCCCGCCCCCAGCGTGCCCAGTGTGGTCGCCTCACTTCCGGGTGACGTGGTTGCGGCGCGCGCACTCCAGGAGCGAGCCGGGAGTCCCCTGCTGCAGCAAGAGGTAGGACTTGGCAACCCTAGTTAGAGGTGGTGGCGACCCCCAAACACCTGGTACAAAGACAGGCAATCCCCAGGTCAAGGTTCCGAACCTGATAATAACCTCCAGGTGGGGCCTCCTGGGATTTCACCTCATCTCCAGACTACGGAGATCAATTGCCCTGAAGAAAATGGCTGCTTTAGAGCAGGGGTGTCGAACTCATTTGTTACGAGGGCCGGATCTGACATAAATGAGGCCTTGACGGGACGGGCCCTGGGTATCTGACAACTGACACCCCTTGCTCTGGATCATTGCATCAAAACGTCTGTGCTGTTGCAATCTTAAGTATGCTGTTCAGGGGTGTATCTGTAAGCTGCAAACCTACTTTTGATTTATTGACATTCACCCCGGAAATCTCATGCTCAAGAGTTCTGAGTCGAGGAGCCAGGTTAAGACACGAAGTGGCCGAGCGACTGAGAGAGCCTGGCGAAGCAAGCGATGATGCAGCAGCAGAACTGGAAGCCGGAGATGGCCAGTTCCACTGAGAGCCTGAGGGAAGCCCTCCGGGGGCCTGATGCGGCCCCCGGGCCGCATGTTTGACACCCCTGTCCTAGCTTTTCTGCGGGAGGCCCGGTTCGGCTGCTTTCATGATCATTAGAAGCCACCTCCTTTGCTGTACGAGGCGGTAAATGATGCAGCAGCTAGGTGGGGAAGAGCCGGAAGCTTCCAAGGGACATCTGGCAGTTCAGGGCAGAGTGCTGACCTGGGGTCGAGCCATCCGAGCAGTTCTCATGATCTCATTTTGACGAGAAGAGGACGTCAGGAGGCATTCTTGGCAGCTTCTCTGCCACTGCGGCATTTCTTCCTTTCTCCTGGAGGCCACAGCCTGGCCATGAGCATTTCCCAGAAAGATTGCACAACCTTTCGCTAGCTCTCACTCAACAGACTCATGGCTGTAGAAGTTACTGGGGTTTGTTCCGGTTTCAGCTACTGCAAACCACAATAAATCAGTGGAACTTCCATATCCATAGGCAGGCTACCTCTGAATCCCAGTTGCCGAGGGGCAAAGGAAACCAGAAACGGTTGTTTCCTTCGTGCCTGGCTTTTGGGCTTCCCGGGGACTTCGACTTGGCCACTCGGATGCTAGCCTAGGTGGACTTTTGGTCTGATCCTGCAGGGCTCTTCTTCCGTGGAAGAAGAAGAAGAAGAAGAAGAAGAAGAAGAAGAAGAAGAAGAAGAAGAAGAAGAAGAAGAAGAAGAAGAGGAGGAGGAGGAGGAGGAGGAGGAGGAGGAGGAGGAGATTGGGTTTATGCCCCGCCCTTCACTTGGCATCTCAAAGTGGCTTACAATCTCCTTTCCCTTCCCCTCCCCACAACAGACACCCTGGGAGGTAGGCGGGGCTGAGAGAGCTCTGATAGAAACTGCTCTTTTTCAAGGACAGCTCTTATCTGAACAGGCATTTGTGGGCCCTGTTTTGACCGATGTGGGGCGAGAATCAAATCAGGTGGGAAGTGGTGGTTTCACTGCCAAAGAATGGGTAGATGGAGACCCCCCAAGGCAGATGTCGGTCTCTCTTAACTTGCGCGCAGCTGTCATGATCGGTGTTCTCACTGTGGGCCTTCTCCATCCTGTAGGAAATTTGCCCCTCGGTGTTCCGTCTGTAAGGAGCCCATCATGCCCGCCCAGGGCCAGGAAGAGACTGTCCGTATCGTGGCCTTAGACCGGGACTTCCACGTGCAGTGCTACCGCTGTGAGGTCAGTATTCTTTATTTTGTTTATTTATTTATTCCTCTAATTTGTACCCCGCCCTCCCCTCCAAGGCAGGCACAGGGCGCTTATAGACAATATGTTAAAACCGTTAAAACTCCATATCTCTATATCTAATTGCCAAGTGGCCCCCGGAGTGCGGATCGCTAAATCAGCGCTCCGAGGGCACTTGGGGGGGAGGGGGAGGTTTGTGCACTCTTGGGGCAGTCCCCAGGGGTGCACAAAAATCTAAAAACTAAAAAAAAATATTGGGGGGATGTTTAAATCCCCCCGAAAGTGCAAGAGCGTTCCGTGCACCTGCGCACGGAACGCTCTACGAACGCCGCCGCCGCCGCCTCCTGGAAGGCAAGCG